GGTGGTATACATCATTTTCTTCAATTTTGCCGGATCTGCAATAGGCACCGCCATGGGTGCCTTAATAAAGCCAGGTTTGTCCATTTTCTACTTGAACGCTTTCATTCTGCACATATCGCTTTCTAGGCATAATCGATGTGATAATGTTTTTATACTTACCATCTTCATGGTCTCAAATGACTTTTGCTTAACTATATTACACACAGCGATCCTTCAGATTTGGTTTGATTTTTTTTCAAAAAAACCTCGCAAGTTGCACAAATCTGAAAACAATTTTGGCAGTTATGCGTGTTGGATTGTCAGTGATTCTTTTAGGTTCCCTTTCCTTACTGGAATTAATAAAGGTCTGATGACAAACCCACATGAGGTGCGTATCCTGAAATTTGCAAATTAAAAACACACTGGCTTAGGATGCTAGGCTTAAAGAGACCAAAGGAAGAAAAGGGAGCTTTAAGTTTACATCATTCTGCGCATGATTAACATTCTTTCAGCAACTCATAGGAATAGACAATAAAAGCTGGCCCTAATGAATCTTGTAGAAATCCCTCAGTTGCAACAAAATTAATACTGATACCTTATCTAGCCACTCGCAGAAATGTCTCAGGCAACATTATCATATGCCGAGGTACTTAGATATCGTTAACCCCACCATTGTGTCCTAAGGGTGCGGTATTAATATGGCTTTTATGGTTGGATCGTATCACAGGAATGAAAAAATAAATTTAAATGTTTAGTGTAAAAAAGCAGGTAATTATTATTTAAAGAACCAGTAAAATAGCAAATACAACCAATAGGGAACAAGATTGGCGCACAAAAGTACTTGTAAATAGGCTACAAACCAAAATCGACTCTATATCAAAATTTATAGATCAAAATAAAACCCTGAAAGATAGGCTTTTCCCCCATTTTTCTTAAACCCACAATGCCTTCTCATGCATTTGGACAAATATTGTAGTCCGATAAGCTGACTAGCATCGTATGTTGCTTAAAAAACTAAATTGAAATAAAATTAAGCTAACTAAAATTATAACTAATATTAAACTAATAAAATAACAATAAACTAAGAATTAAGCTAAAACGAATAAAACTAAAAATGCCCGCAGAAATCTAAAGATTTTAGTTTTTGAGTAGAGTAATAAGTATAACTACGCATACTAAAGTATATATAGTAGGTATATAAGTATAGATCAAAGGAGATCGGAATACGAGAATGTCAGCATATGTTATTATGAGCGCCCATGCTTAGTTGTATGTTGATATATGATGTGAAACTGAGCAACATAAGCTTAGGCAGGTAACTTGAACCAAACCTGCACATAAAGTGTTTAGCCAAGTTTGCAGAAGTACAAGTTCCGGTCGACACGTACAGTTTCAAATTCAAATTGCTGGTAGATAATTACAGTTGAGGCTTTGACAAAGGAGAACCGACCAAGCTCTCCGAAGTTTCAGCACGAAAAAAAGATCCTACGGTGAGCACTAACATGATATTTAATGTGCTTACCATCAATTAGTTACTCTGAGAGTGCTCCTGACCGAATTAATGTATCAAGAAGGAAATATCTAATACCGACGACTAACAAGCTAACAGCTATAGAAATAACGCAGTTTGCACACCCTCAGTATATGATCGGTCACTTGGCTCGGAAAGGTGTCGCATAGGAAATAGCAGCTGGTGCCTACCATGCGGAATAATGTAGGCTTATTGAAAAGTGTATGAAAATTGCCAGTAAACGATTAGGTTCTAATAAGACATTAATATTCCTAATCCCTAGGCAAAGTTTTCTTGACTCAGAACTCGCGGTGTTAGG